TAATCATGCACTCATCCCTGTACACTGCAGTAGAAATATCCTGTTAAAATAAAAAGAATTGCAGTCATTCGAATGCATACACATATGCAAGCTTGAAGATAAAAGTGCACGTAAAATGGCTTATCACGTTTCAGTACAAAGCCATGGCTTTATAAGCCAAGAATAATGACAAAAATAAAATAAGTTTAAAAAATCAGAAATAAAACTGGAAAAAAAAATAAAAAATAAATAAAGTACTGCAAAGGAAATACAACAAAATATTGCAATATTTTCCTACTTTATCTTGAAGCTACAAGTATAAATAGTTAAGAACGTTTTGAGTTTAGTTTTAGTTTTGAAATCGTACCTGCACTTGCTTGCAATTCTACGCATTGTTACTTTACTTTTATAAATGTAAGGTAATTTGATGTGCTCTAACAATATGTATTGTATTATCTCATAGATATATTTTATCATTACAAGGATGCAGTAGTTTACTTTCCATTCAAATAAGCATTACAACAAGCAAAGAATATTGATTTTGCTATTTCAAGCTTCGATAAAGCATTTAGTTTACAGCATCCGTAAGACAAAAGAGTGAAGATTTTACAAGATGTGTACAAGTTTCAATATCATTTAAGCATCTTTGCATTTAAAGATAAATTTATTTATTATATATTTATTATATTTATTATATAAGTAAAAAATTAGCCTAAAAGATGCTTTTTCAAAATCATTTTGTGACTGAAAATGAAGCTTCCATTGCATAATTTAACAAGGCGTTGTACGAAAGTAAAGTTTCAATTATATGAATTATAATGCAAGTCTTTTTTTAATAAGCCTAATAGACTCATCACACACGGCTCCATTACAATTTATTATCCTACCACATACCGGGTATTTAGCTGTGTCTGTGAACTATGTGCGCCCTTTTTATGGACTTCATATGTCGTTTGTCGCCATTTTTTGTGGTTTTAGTTTCCTGTGTATGGTGATGCGTACCGTCTTGCGGCTTTGTTAACTTGTGATTTATTATGCTGGAGATAACACTAAAAGGACCCCAAATGGATGGACGAACGTGTTTCCGTGTGAGATATAAAAAGTAAAAAATTTTATATGCCAGGAAAAAAATATAAGAAAAATACAAAAAGTCAAACGAGAAAAAAAAGTAGATTTATCAACTTAATTTTAATGGTTTCGTTTATCATTGGGACAGATATTTGGCCACGACATTGCTCTCGGTATCTTGAAAACTTTTAAATACAAAATGGTTTTCAGAGTAAGAAAAAATTTAATTTTTTTTTGTACTTAATTTATGTAAAGTAAAATTACTGATTTACGAAGTTTAAAATTTATTGATTTCAAAAAGTTTAAAAGAAATTTAAGACTAAAAGCAGTTATCTCACCTTTTTTTTAATTATAAGTTATAATTTATTAATATATTAATTAATTATATTCAATTTTATAACAACCAACCAACTAAGGGCCTTTGCAGCTTATTGCTGTAGATATACAGATATAGCGCTACTTTTTGATTTAGCTGAGCACTATAATAAAAAAATAAAGATTTAATAATTTTTTTATATTGATTACTTTGAGGTTCTATCACTTTGACTGCTTAAAAACAATATTTTATTTTTTTCTATAATATATTCAATATATGTTTTATATATTTATTTATAATTTTATTTATTAAGTTATATACCATATTTAGTTATTTATTTTTTTTAGTTATTTATATATTTATATATTCTTTTATATATAAAATATAATAAATAGAAACATTTGACATAGGAACATAACATATGTTACATATAATTGATAAAAAGAAATATATATATAAACTATAATAAATATATATATGTTTACATAATATACAATAACTAGAATAAGTAATATTTTAGTTATTTACTTTGAGGTCTTACTTCTTCAACTTATTTAATAATTTGGTGAGTTTATAGTCTGATTCTCTCTAAAAGCGTTTCTGTGTTTTTCAGATTTTTATTTCGAGTTCATAAAGTCAGTTACCCAACAAATAACTTCTTTGTAGAGCTTACACCAAAAATTATTTTGACTAGGAACTAGGTCTCTATATGTTTTCAAAAAGAGTGTTCATTAGTCAAGTTATCAGCTAAATTATGACCTATGACACCATAGTACTTACCTATCCATATAAGGCATGGTTTATTACATTTTGTAACTCTAGCCTCGTCTTAGTTTCACTGATAACCTGTGAAGAATTTGTGGGGATAACGAAAGTTTTAAGTGCATGTGGACTGTTACTTTAAGGAATTTGAAAAGTTAACAAGAGGTTTAAGGTGCCCTAGCTACGACACCATAGTGACCAGAAACCATTATGAGGTATAGTTTAATACAATTTGCGACATCGTTAAGCTGCAACTTACATTGACTGATAATACCTGAAGCACTTAAAGGGTTAATAAGAATTTTAAGTAGGGCTGGACTGCTATTTTAAGGTACTTGAGTGGTTAACAGTAGTACACTTTAACTTCTATTGCTTAATTTATACTATAATTTGGAATTAAAACTTTCTATTTAGTTTATTTTGGAGAGTGTTTTAGATTTTAATTTATTAAACCCATATTTCTCAACTTTTTTTTTTGATACTCCCAATTTAAGACTTTAGAAAGTTCGGAAAGTCCGTTAAGCAGATCGGTCTGGTATTATATCTTTTTTAAAGGCTTACGACATTCTTAATGTTTTTACTTTAATGTTAACGACTTTTTTATCAATGTTTTGCTCTGTTCAATCGTGCATTTAAGTCTTAATTATACTACTTATACTTAATTATATTTAATATCCCTGTCTTTATTATAAAACTATTATTATGTTGAAGCTACTTGAGCCAGTGCACTTAAGCACTTTAACTCTTTCTTAACTCGAGATATTTTCAAAACCCCTCTTTACGCCTTGACTGCATTATTGTTTATCACTTCATCAGTCTAAGCAATAATTGACCTTAGATCTGCATATCTCCCCGAGGAGCCTGTAACAATTCTGAGATTTATTAACGCGGTGTTGGTAAGACTGTCAGTTTTCGCAAATAATTTCAGGGGTCTATGCTTTATGTATTTTTCGATGGGATCAATTTTGAGGTCTTTGAGGATGTCATTTGTCCTAATGTACCATGAAACTTTGAAAAGTCTTTTCAGAGCCTGGCTTTGTGCAATTTCGAGCTGGCTAATAGTAGTGTTTGAAGCTTTGCTAAACGCTACATATCCATATAGAAGTGATGGACGACTTATTTGGTTATATAACAGTTTCCTGTTCTTAGCATTGAGATTTTCATTTCTGAATAGCGGTTGGAGGTGCTGAAGAATTTTTGCACAACTAATTCTTTTCAGTTGAACATATTTAGGCCATGTGAATCGTTTGTCCAACGTGATGCCGAAATATTTGACGCTATCCTCTCAGTTTATTACCATAACACCAGTGTTATTACATAACACTGTCTCAAATTTTAACTATATTTTTAAACAAAATCGCATATATTCTACATTTAAAAATTTATACTTTAAATGTCCAAATGCAAGAATTATACAGATATTATTATGTTTATCAGCATTTAAACTTTCTCGTTAGATATGACATTTTGCCTAATGTGGTTTGCCACAAAAGTGAATGTATAGTAGTACATATCTAACTTTTTCCACTTAAAATAAATAAAATATTTCGTATTTTAGTGAATAACCTCAATCGAGTATTAATACTGCAATCGCCTTTTGAAAATCTCACAATATTTTAAATTGAGTGTACACGTAAAAAAGTCATCGATAATCAAATATTTGCGCGTAGTTACGAGTGCTAGTACAACATCGCATGTAGTACATCATAGTAGTTTTGTTATGATATATGTCAAATCAGGGAATGTCAATCGAATCGAAGCATTTAAAAGTTCGCCTGCACCTCTCAGACACACTCGCAAAGTTCGGTCCAAACTGCCATTACGGGTTGGTACGAGTTCATGTCAGTCACTAAACGTTGCCGCTGTCGAATGCATTGAAATTGCAAATAAAATTCTGTCATTCGAATGTCAACATAAGAGCCTGTGTATCACGTACTTGATCAATCATTTCTGACAGTTATTTTAAAAAATGACAGTTACTTGATTAAGAATGTGGAAACCCAATTGTTTGGATCTGCACAAAAAGGCTAAATTGCCTGATAAGAAATT